TACTCTTCTTCTTTCCAGTTCTTCAGGCTGGAAATATTTGTTCCAGATAGCAAACACAGGTGATTAGTCCCCCCCGCCGCCGCTCCCCAAAAAAGGCTGTGCTACTATGTCTCCAAAGGACAGTCTGGGTTCAGCTCAAGGTGAATTCTGACATGGTAAACAGAGGCTTGGGGAGAGAGGTACATAAAAGCTTACACTCAGCATTCCTCAGAAACCTGTCTGCCAAGAAGAGCTACCACTTCTTATCTCTCCCTAAATCCACCTATGGCAAAGGGGGGACCTAGCTCCTATTAGCACATACTGGTAACACATATCAAAACCCCATGCTAACCTCCAGCCTCCTTTGGTCCATCTTAACACATACCCGTAACTGCGTATCAAAGCCACCGGGCTCTTCTGGCCTGAAAACCCCTGCCTTGTTACCCTAAATGGGTTATATCCTAAAAGGAATAAACTTTTGCTTTCCCACCTACTTAGCAGTCCACTACTTCCTCACAAAAGAAAGAATTTTGGTAGTATTAAATAAATTTTGTGTATATTCTACAAAATTTAAGACTGAACTGGAGCGGACTTTTACTTCTAGAGCAGCTGGTCCCTTTGCTGCATGCTTTTCTTTGGGGCAAAATTATTTAAAAAACACAGTGGCCACTTTAAGGATAAACCAACTCACTAAGTGATTGATAAAGGCTCTGTAAACCTGTAAACTGCCTTCAGGATGTGCGCATCTGTGATGGAATGTTATTCCACATTGAAGGGGCAATGGCTTCAAGCTTCACTTGGGCAAAGGTAGTGTGTTAGTCGCGCCTGAATGCACTTATGGTCTTGCTATACTGCTACCCCCCTTGTATTTATGCCTCCACATTTCTAGCATAGGAATCAGGTTAGAAGTGTAATTAAGCAAATTAAGTTATCTCCAGGTGTTATCACTTAAATTGTTTCCCTTTGCTCCTCGGCAGGAATGGAGGCAAGGTTGCTCAAAACCTCGAGAACACATGGAAGTCGTTTTATTCCATTTTATTTGAGTTTGTATGTATTGCTTGAACTGATTTCACAGGTCATTGGAATACCCTGACCCTCACTAATTCTCTGCCCTGTGTATACCAAAGGAAGAAAAAAAAACTTACTTTAAACCAATTTCAATAAACTACATTTTTCCTTTCAGTTGAGAATCAGTGAACTGGTGACCGCTATTCCTCTCTCTCTGTACCCAGGAGAGGGACATACATTATTTACATAAATATATAAATACAGAGATTTCTGAACACGTCCCTTCCAAAGCTCATCCCTCTTCCACAAAAGGCATCTCTATTTTACCAACCACCCAAAGGAGCTTTCTACCCTCAACTGGTAAATATTTGAATACCTCTTCTTTCTACTAACATACAACACTGCCTTAAATAACCACGTAAGGGACCACAAAGCTACAAGCAAATGAGGTCTGCACTAATTACATTCTGAGGAAAATCCCATTCTGTAATGAATTTCATGTTAATTATTATCCTGATGTTGTATCCGGCTGACAACCAAAACCAATGTGCCAACACGTGACCTGCATCTCTGCTGCTCCAATAATGAGTAACAGCTTTTGACAAACAATTTCTTCTCCACAAACAATGTAAATCACAAACAGGGGCGTTCCAGACTACAATTACAAGCTGCCTGCTGTGCCTTCAGACAAACAGTTGCTTAGGCTGTGCCCCCAAAGCACAGAAAATAGAATCTGCCCTCATAGAGGAAGCTAGCTGGAAACAGAAGAAAGCAACCCAGAAAGCTTCTCTAACACAATGTAAAACTCAGGCCTTTGCCATGTGGCTGTAGTTGGGAAAAGTAGAGACTGGTCTCTGAAGGTCAAAAATGAACTTTATTTATTTAGGCTAAAATAAATTAAGCAGCTTTGAGGCGAAAACGTTCCCCTAATAAGGTAAATAAGGCTGTTTGCCTTTCCCTTTACTTTTACTTAACGTAAACCGGTGTTTTGATGGCACATATTGTGTGCCATGTGCATGCAGTGCCTGAGGCAGCCAGAAGAGGGCATTAGATCCCCTGGGCCTGGAGTTACAGAAAGTTGTGAGCCATCATGTGGGTGCTGTATATTGAACCATGGTTCCTCAGAAAGAGCAACTAGTGCTCTTAAAACTGCCCAGCCATCTTTCCAGACCCAGGACTTTAATTTCTTTTTAAAATAATGGTTTAAAAAATTATTTGAAGTTTTGAAAGAAAGGTTTTAGAATTTCCAGTAAAGAAAGAATAAGAAAAATTTAAATAAAAATCACTATCCTTTAAAAAGAGGCTAGCCATATAGTTTACTCAAAAGAGTGACAGCATATTTCACATCTACAGCTAATGCTACTTCTGTTCAAATGTTCTCCATACTGGCAGTAAGTTTATTTTTACCACTATGGATTTTCAGTTGTCAAATATCCCTGGATTCACATTATTTGTGATAAATCTATATACAGCTTCAATATGACATCATGGCAGATAACCCCAAATGCTCTTTTATCTCCCCATCAAAACTGAAAACCATTCAAACCTTTTCACAGGCATGTGGCATTGGATTGTCATATTGTTGACAGGGCCTTTTTCCTTCATAGACTATCTGTTTGTTTTGTTTTGTTTCAAGACAGGATTTCTCTATGTAGTCTTGGCTGTCCTGGAATTCACTCTGTAGACCAGGCTGATTTCGAACTCACAGAGATCTCCTTGCCTCTGTCTCCCAAGTTCTGGGATTAAAGGCGAGTGCCACCACTTCCTAGCTTTTCCTGCATATTCACTATGAATTTTTGTTTTGTTTTGTTTTCAAGATGAAATTCTAGGATCAGGGTAAAAGAGAACCGTCCTTGTGCCATCCCCCTTAACAAACACTGAACCCAGTTGCATGCACATTGCACAGTAATATAGGCCAGGTGCTGGTGAATCCTGAGACAGCTCAGTCCTGGACTTAGGAAGCAAAGCTACATCTCTGGTAGGGGATGGGAAACGTGTGTTAGGAAGTCTTTGGGCTGCTAAAGGGGCTTGAATGGAAGACTGCAGGATTGCACAGACTGTGTTGTTCTGCCGTTTCTTCCCTCCTTCACCATCTTCACCAGAGAGTTTTATGTCTATAACAGAATGAATTCTTACTTTCATTCCCCTAAGTACCTCCTCCCCGGCAAGTAAACTTACAAACAAGGAGGATGAAAGGAATGTTCACTTTCCTGGCTATTTTATTTAAGTGGCATAGTGTGTTTGATCTCTTCCCCTACAACAAACATAGAGATTATGTGATTCATCTTGTAATATCTACTTAGAATATGAAGTTACATTTTAGCAAAGGTTGATATCTTTGGGACCAAATCAAGTCCTCAGATAGAGAAAATCCTCCCTAGGAAATAGTTAGATTTCATAAGCTTATAAGAAGGCTGAATTTGGCTCTGGAATTTAGGGATCTTTGATCTTTTCTTTTCCCATCTGCTTTCTTGAATAGCTATTGTTTTAATTGTTTGTTTTTGTAGGCAATTCTTTTTCAGGTTACATATTTCTATCCAGTCTTTATGTTTGACCTTAGTGTAAGTGAAGACTTGGAGAAGCATGTAGTTTTCTTAAGACAGAAATCAATATCATACTATATATTTGTACTGTTTGGGACAACCTTCAATGCTTGACAACGTCAATAACTGTTTTCAGTAGGGCTACTGTATGATTGGCTCCATTGTGTTCATAATTAATTCATATTATTAACTTCTTTACGTTATAAAGTGATATAATTAGACTCACTTATGACATTTTCATATAGTGCCCACATAGATGCCCTTCAGATAGTTCACATTTCAGACTCAGTATGACCTCAAATGGAACAAAATTAAGGTATAATTGCAAGACACTGTTCTTAAGAAAGAATCATAAGTTTAGGTGGTGATGTACCTGCTAGGTCACAATGAAAGCTTGATGTAAGCAAGGAACATATAAAATGCTAGGCACTACATTTTCAGACTCATTGGTGAAAAATGACGCACATGAAAACTAATTATAGGATCCCCGGGAACCATCACTACTGTGCCTGCCCATGCCTGAGATGGGTACAAATGCCTAAGGTAGAGAAGATGTAAATGGCACAAACAATGATGGCAGTACCTTGAGAATTACTGCAGAGAGAGCTAATTTACTTAGGATCTATAAGAGAAAGACTTAACAAATATGCAGGAAATACCCTGAGAGAGGGTGATAAGAGAACGGGCTAAAAGAAGTAGAGACAAAGGCATCTTTGGGGTATTGTTTTTCTGTGATTCTGCTATTTCAAGAACCCTACTGGCTTGTGTAGACAGCAGCCTTTAGCCAGCAAGTCTCCTGAATAGATGTTTCTTACCATCCAGAGGCACAGTCAGGTCTCAGAAGCCCACAGTCTGGTTCTCACAATATAGTCTCAGTTACACATCAGAGTGAATGCCAGAAGAGCAGGGTCATTGACTTGATCTTGTCAGTCAAGAATACTTATTTCCATTTGAGAATTCATTTGCTAGACCTTCTAAAGCAAGCAAGCCAACCACAAACCAAAATACAAGGCAAAACAAAAATCCTACCAGAAAAAAAATCCATATAATAAATATAACTAATACTTTGAAGTATCTGCAGTGATGCCAGGAATGGAGGGTGGTGGAATTCCCATCAACCTATAAAACAATCTCCTTCTTCTTTACTTATTTAAGTTATCACCGCTGCATGTTCAGGCTCGCTGGCAAAACATCAGATATTTTTGAAAGTGAATCTGCCACATGCTGCCTCAAACAGAGTTTAATACTCAAGTAAAATGTTTAAAACTTGCCAGATGCCAGAAGCATCTGACAGTTACCCCATACATGGAGTCTGTGTGTTGCCTCATTGTTTTGCCTCCCCCTCTTCTCATGAACATGACAGATAGAACTCTTTAGCTTGGCTTCATATTTGTTAAAAACCACCACCATGCGTCAGAACCAGCCACGGAACCGCTGTGTTTCAGAGAATAAGCAGAAGAGACACTGTACCGGGTCTTCAGTTTTGTGACTATTCAAGAAGTCAGACAGGAAATCTTCATGAAGGCTCTCTCTTCGAATCAGTGTGAATTCCCGCAGGAAAACAGCCCCTTGGCTTTGGTCTCCACATACCTAGAGAGATAAAGTAGCTGAATTAAGCCTTCAGACAGAGCCTAGAGGGAGAGAGAGGGCATGGGGGATTAATGTCTCTTAGTTGTAAAACCTCTTGGATCCATTTCAAGTCTGATTAGAGCAATCAAAAACAATGCACACAAATACATATTAATGGGAGAGCCACGAGAACATTCTGGCATGTGGCCTCTCTGACAGATGCCAGGAAAGTCCCCTACTAGGTTGGAGTCTCTTAACTGATTGCTTGTGATGTTGAAAGTCAGTGATTATAGGTTATTTTTGTGATCAGGGCTGGGTCCTTATGCCATTGGGCTCTCTTTATGTGGGTACCAGATAGAGAGGCTATGGACCCTAAAGGATCCATTCCTAGACCAACGGATCTAAGCACTGAGGAAGGTCCAGGTCCCGACGTCCTGTTAAAGTGTCCACCTGATATAGAAGCCCTGTCCTGAGCCAGGAGCTGACTTCCTCTAAGAGCTTTAGATAGAATGCGACGCACATTGGCTGCCGCAGGAGGAGATGCTGGAGAACGCTTCGCTGGAACTTATCACATAGCAGGTTCTTTGCACATGTTATCTTGCAGCAGCCTCACGAGGTGTCTCTCAGCAGCCACACTTGACAAATTAGGAACCAGAGGCATAGACGGTTTGAGGACTTTGCCAAAGGAGCAAGTGTTGAAATCCACACTCAAACACGGGTCTGAATCTAAAACCCCTTACCCTTTCCTTACATCATTTTGCTCCTGAGCTGCTGGAGCCTTCCTATCCTGAGTGACACACTATTATGTAATGTCTATAAATTCAGGAATGACCAATTTGCCTAGGCTTCGTAACGTCTCTCTGGCCCTTTTCACAATCAATAACAGCAGTGATTGCAGCATTTGGATTGCCCAGAAGACAGATCATGCACCACCAAAATTTAGTGCGATGCCTTGCACACCATAAGCATCCAGTAAGCACAACATTGTTATGAAAAGCATGTTCTACTTAAGAAATATGGACAAATCTAAACTTTAACATCCTTGAGTTTCTTTACTATATTTAATAAGGACACATGTATATCCATCTGACTCCCACATCCATCCTGATGTCTTCATTTTCCTAACTTCTATTTTAATTTTACAGCTTTGCACAACAGTGAAGTTAGTAGTGAACATGTGAGAATTCCTGTTAATTCATGCCTTCTTGAATGTCTGCAATAACTCATAATGAATTAAGGTTATTTTAAACCAAATGTCTTTGGGGGAAAGGAGAGTGATTTCCCTAATTTATATGTGTTATTGTTCTCTGTGGTTGAACAGTCAGGACAGTTTCATCATAGTAGACAGCATCTCACTTCTAATGTCTTCCCTTCCTGGTGTCACTTTTGTGAATATGTTGCTTCACATGACAGAAAGGACTTTGCAGTTGCCGTCAGGAATACTAAGGAGCTGACTTTGACACAATTAGTATCTTGCAATGTTTAAGTGAGTCCAGTACAATCATGAGACATTAACAGCAGGATGTAACTGATTTGAATGCAATACATTCATACCTTGAAGAGTACAAAAGAAAATAAAAACATAATGAAGAGATTAAAAAATATACAGAATGGTTTATGACTTGCAGCAGGGAGGGAGATTACGTTCAAAGCAATGCCATCTTGGAACAAAATCTATCTAATTTTATTCAGGTATAAATATTCATATAGGAAAAAAACTAAAGAAACCAATGCAATCCTCAGCACACTGTTTAAGTAGCACATCGAACAAGGAGAGATGGCTGATAGGCTCCAATTCTGAGCAAGCTCGGCTCCAGGTCACAGAGTACATAATCAGAATACTGCAGTGGTAGACAGCAAGTCCTCTGGGCATCTTTAGGTTCTCACACAGAATTTTGGTTTGAAACATCTTTAAAAGACCTCTTTGAAGATATGACAAAGCAGGATATTGGTAACAGCATCACCTGCCTTGGTTGGGAACTAATGAGCTTTTCTTTGCTGAAAGAGAAGTTAAAAGCATGGCAGAAAAAATAATTCAAAACGTCCCATTAACTTAAGCTGCCATTGCTAGATTGAACACATAGAGGACACCATGGACACACTTAAAAATAAAATAAGTTCTTCCACAGTAAACTTATACGAGGAACCCAATCCCTAGAAGACATGTATCCTCAGTCACTACATTGATTTTAACCAAGTGGCACCCAGGAATACAGCTGTACCTTGTCAGATTCCTATCCTACAGAAATTGTGAAATACTATTTTTGTGTTGTTTTAAGCCACTATATCCAAGGTAATTTGTTATGGCAGTTGGAAAGGAATATAATCATTGAGAGGTAGGGCACAATGAAAGGCTATCTTGCTTCTTCTTTGCTAATTTTCTAAGAACCAAGTAATACTAGGCATGCAATAGTATAAGGATTGTAAAAAGTCATTCTGGGAACTGTGTCCTTCAAGCTAAACTAAATTATTCCTGGTGTGTCTAGAATTCACTTTTACTTAATTATTTTCTCATCAGGATCAATCATTCAATCCTCCCTTGAGTATGTAGTTAAATACACCTCAAAATTTGTCTTGATCAACTAACTTCCTTAACCCAAAGCTTTCCTGATTCCCTTCCTGGCTGAGTTTCAAGGTCACAGACATGACATTCAGGACCACTCACACTTTCAGGCAAGGAAGACTCTAGGCAAGTAAGACCAATGCTTGTGAATCTCTTTCTGAAGAAGTGCAAAATTTGAGCTTAACACTATGTACATACACAGATATGCTCTAACTTGTCTATTTTCTAAAGGATGAAACCACACTGAAGACTCTTAAATGCTACATTTAATGAATATTTTTCTCCCAAATCCACATCCAATACTTTAAATTTCTATCATCTAAAACATTCATGCTCTCTAAACATTCATTGCCATAGTTCTTTAAGGAAAATTAACAAACTTCATACATTTCCTTGGGGGACAACTTTTGTGCCTAACTTGTTTTTCTTTGTTCAACTGATTAAGGAAATACGAAAAAAAAATCACATATCATCCAAAATAGACAGTAAGATGTTGAATAGTTACAAATAACACTAAAAGATAACCAGTGGTCCATTTTCTTTATAGTATAATTCTCAATCATAATTTAGTGTTTAGGAAAGAGTATCTCTAGGGCCAGAGAGATGGCTTAGAGATTAAACCTACTTACTGCTCTTGCAGAAGACCTAGGTTTGGTTCCCAGCACTCCTAGGTTGCTCACAACTGTTTATGAGTCCAATTCAGAGGATCTGACACCTACTCCTGACCTTTGAGGGAACTGTATGCATATGGTACCCAGGGACACACTCAGGCACACACATACACAGAAAGCATATTTAAAAAACAAAGAGTAATTATAATTTTGAATAATAGACACAACTACTCAAAACTAACAACATTAAGCAAAAAATGTAGGGTTTTTAATTACATAATTAGAAATAATATTCACAAAACACAATTAAGTTGAAAATAGGCAGTATTTATGCGTATTTATAATGAGAATACATTGAACTTGCATATTCTTATCTATTCTTAGGGTTAAATTTAATTTGGTGTCTTATAAAAATAATTCATGAGTTGAGCATCCTGGCAAGAGTTATAAGGTATGCCGACATTCTTAAGAATTATAATTACTTTTTAGATATTAAAGCAAACCTGGTAGAATAGACTAGAGGAGGGATAGCAAATGATACCAATAGACACATTTTCTACACCAATTTCCAGCTCACTTTTAAGAACGCTTTACATCTGAAGTGGTGCCATGACTCCCTCACTCGTCCACTCCTAAACACATTTTCTCAAGTCCTAGTGTCAATAGCTTTCCCATGGGACCACAGAACGGAATACAGTTTCTTTTCTCTTGACCGAGCCAATCTAACGTACACAAAGATTTGACAGAAAACGATAGTCATTCACCAAAGGAACCATCTTTCTGTCATGGTGAGGAGATACCTGGCTAACATTTCCAAGACCTATTTGCAGTTAAGGAGGAAGTGAAACAACTACTGAGCCCAGCTTCTCTCTTTATATCTCTATCTCTATCTCTATCTCTATCTCTATCTCTATCTCTATCTCTATATCCCATGGGATAACACACACACACACACACACACACACACACACACACACACACACACACACACATCCCCTAGTCCTCCCTCCATGCTCTTTTGGAGTTAGTTCCATTTTAAATACACTGCTTCAGAGAAATTTGGGGATCAATTTTGTCGAAGGTGAAAGAGCCTCCCAGAATGAATGCATAAGGGAAGACTTGCTCAAGATCAGCTCACTTATCTCAATTATCAAAGTGATCAAGTAGCAAAGATTTGCACTCTTGTCAACCTTAGAGCCCATTTCTGACTACCCTAACTGTGCTAATGAGAATTTGCAAGTGAAAGCACCAAAAGTTAGGGAATAGAGAACAAGAAAGTTTAATTAACCTAAGAAGAATTATGCAAGGCTTTAAAATGGACTTAAAGAAATAATGGGGATTTACCAACTGGTCAAGGGGAAGGGTATGTGTGGGAGAAACATTCCTAGCCCAGGAAGAAGGTTCAGTCTGGGTAAAATGAGGCATGAAGGGGTTCAGAAGGCATGTACGTGAGTTCACAGGAACAAGGAGTGGAAGTGAATCTGTGTCTTAAGCCAGGTTGGATTATGAATCACAGACCCAGAGTCTTGTTTGGACTCGTATGCTGGAAGAGTATTCTGGCGGCTGTCAGAAAGTAAGCCTGGAGGTGAGGGCTTTAGATAATCGGAACTCATCAGATGAGAACTTGTGCAGACCTGAGAAGCTGGTGAGGAAGGAAAAGATTATAAGATTCGGCAGTCAACTGAATCCAGAAGGTACATTTCAAGTCACGACTTTATTTTCTATCTGGATTTAGGCATTAGAGAAGAGAGTAGCGTGTTGGACAAAAGAGAAACCATAAGAGGGTCAAGGATTTGAGTTCACTGAGAGGTGTGGTGGGAAACAGACACTAAACAAACGTCTTGGGA